CAGGAGGCGCCATGCTACGACCCGGTCAACAAGGAGTGCGTGGCCGGCGATCGCGCGCGCGACAACGGCGCCGGGCTTGTCTACTGCGCGCCGCTCGTCGGCACGTGCTCGTACAAAGGGTGGTGCTACGACACTACCTCGCGCTGCGTCTGCACGGGCGTGCGCCCGTGTTTCAGCTTTACAGCGGTCGGAACGATGTGCGTGGCACTGAATGCAGAGTGCTCCGCCGGCACGAGCCGATACAATGAGCTTTGTCCGCCGACCGACGTCACGGCCTCGCCGACGTCAGCGCCCATGTCCAGCGGCGCAACCGCAGCCAACTCGACGACACCGACAACACAACCGTTGTCATGGACGACGACGACGATGACACCGACGCCGACACCGACGACCAGCTATGTGGTTGATTCGTCGGGCACGAGCTCGATTTCGATGTACACCATCGGTGGCGTCATCCTCAGTGTCATTGTCATTGCATACGTGACCATCCGCAGGTGTTGTTGCCAGCGCCCTGCGCCGGCGCAACAGTACTATGCGTATGAAGCACCGGCCGCCGACCAACCGCCGACCCCCGTGTATACCTACCCCGCAGTGACGCAGGCGGCGACCCAGTCGTACAAGCCCACGACGGCGTCGACCTACGCCACAAGCTCAACGCGCACGACGACTGGGCACTCGACGCCATCGACGACACCGGCGGTGGCCGCGACGGACGTCGGCGCCTTCAACATGAGCGACTTGGAGATGTTTCGCATCTCGGTCGCCGACGTCACGGTTGTCAAGACGCTTGCGAGCGGCGGCTACGGCGTCGTGTCGCTGGCGACATTGCATGGCGCACGCGTCGCGCTCAAAAAGCTCACGGCCGAGAAGGAGTCGTCGTCCGATGACGTCGCCAAGTTCATCGCCGAGATCCGGCTCATGACAAAGTATGTCATCCTTGTCCTTGTCATCGTGACGGCTCATCGTGATGCCGTAGGATGTCGTCGCCCTTTATTGTCGGCTTTGTGGGCGTCGTGTGGACGCGACCGACCGACGTCATGCTCGTGACCGAGTTTATGGACGCCGGCGACCTCCGCGATGTGCTCCAGAGCCAAGAGAGTTTGCTTTGGGCGACCAAGCTCTCGATCGCTTTCGACATCGTCCAAGGGCTTGTCTACCTCCACACGCTTGAGCCCAAGGTGCTGCACCGCGATCTCAAGTCCCGCAACGTACTCCTCAACACCAACATGACGGCCAAGCTCACGGACTTTGGCATCTCGCGCGAGCTGGACGACGCGACCATGACCGCCGGCATTGGCACGTACCGCTGGATGGCGCCCGAGGTGCTTCGAGAAGGCCACTACGACGAGTCGGCCGATATCTATGCGCTCGGCGTGCTCCTCACCGAGCTCGACACGCACGATCTGCCGTACGCAAACCTGCGCAACGCGAGCGGGCGGCCGTACACGGACACGGCGATCATGGCCAAGGTCATGGCCGGCGAGTTCCGACCGAGCTTCTCGCATGCAAGCCCGGCCTGGTACCAAGAGCTCGGCGTGGCGTGCATGTCGCAAGACCCGACGCTTCGACCCACCGCGCTGCAAGCCGCCTCGACGTTGCACCGGGAAGTACGTCGCTTGGAGGGATAAGAATATCGTTTTAATTGGCATAATTGATTTGTTTTTCATATGAAATGCGTGGAAGATCGAGGTCAACGCGACGGAGGATGACAGCGTGTGCACGTTCTCGACGCGGCAGTAAGATTATTGCCGTACACTGGCACTACAGGTTGCAAGCGGCTTGTATAACCCAAGGAGATATCTAAGATCTCATTTCTGGCGCGTCTTCTGCGCTCTCGAGAGATATTACCTTATCGCAGGGGCGTGAAATCACGACTAATTTAATCGTAAAGTCCCGTTACGCTGTACACAACATTGAGGCAGGGACAACGGCCAATCTCAAGGGCTAGGTTGAACGCCAGGGCTCTACAGAGTAGGTAACAGCGAGTGGATCGAAGGGTGGCTCGGGAGGAAAATACTGACAGGACTGCACGATTCGTCGACAGTGCGCGCCCTGCTCCGTCTATCGACGAGAGAGATTTATAAAAGAAAAACCATGTTAAAACCTCCATTTTGGAATTGGATTGGATCCGCATGGACTGGATCTCGTTCCTAGCGGCCTTTCTTGTGCGGCACCAATGCGTCATCGCTGAGCTCCATCGTCTGTTGCCCTCACCGACCACGCTCGTGGCGGTTGCGGATAGTCTACTGGTGCGCTACGCCTCCTGCACGCTGGTCCTCGTCGGCAGCGTCTACATTTTGTACACCGTGGTCACCCGACTACCCTTTCTCACGTACGTTGCCGCTTTGTATATGAGCGTTGTGGGTCTGGCGTTGGCCCATGCGCTGGAGATGCCCGTGCAGTACGAAGTTGTTTTGGCGCCGCTGGTGGCGGCAGTCGCCGGCTCGCACCCACATCTCGCCCGCCTTGGGTCGATCGTGCTCTGGAGCGCCACCGTGTGGACCCAGCTCTATGTGTCTACTTCGCCGGCGCTGATTAAACATACAGAAGCGCAGGGTCTCTTTGTCATGCCTTTGCTCTTCCGTCGCGAGTTTGCCGACATCTTATGCCTTGCTGGGCCCGGAATGCTTTTCTTCCTCGGTATTTGTACAATTCTCCTGTGATGCACAGCGACGCGACGCCACGAAAACCGTAAAATCCGAATAAATGTTTAGTATCGATTGCGCTTTGTTCGACCGCTTGGACGATGTTTGCAACAGCTTCAACATCAGCGTCATACCAGGCTTGGTCGGTGGTGGGCAGCCCCGAATGGAAGTGGACTGCCTTATCCACGCCTTTTATTGGCAATTTTTTCGCTCTACTAGTACGTTGGTTTTATGGAGACTGGTATAGTGAAATTTTGCTAAAAAACTTTTACGAGGGAAAACCACTCGGATCAACGAGTGGTTGGATTGAACGGTCAAACCCACGAGAAATCGAGATTTTTGAGATGGTGGTCCATCTTTAAAGTTGAGATTTTCACAGCTTCTACAAACGGAGTAGTTGAAGCATATTATTATTACGACATTCTTGCACCAAGCAGTCCGCCGTCCAGAGTTCAGATGAATCGACGCCAAGTTGTGCATAGAATTCATGTGACAGTGAAACACATGTGATATGTGACAGCCAAACACATGTGATATGTGTCCGGAAACGGCACTTTCTTTGCGAGCAACGTAATCGAGTCGCACATCGGCGATCACCTTGTACGGTAATACAATTGTGCCAGTACAGATCAAGAAATCCTACAGTGAAATTGTACTGTAGTATGTGGGTGGAACTTTCTCACGATGCTAAAGGTTCCCCTTGCCGATGGAATTCCCCGATTCACTGAAGATATATGGTATATTTTGAAAAAATGACGAAGGCGGATCGGCCTGGCAGGTGGTGCAGCTTGGCTATAAACACTTACGTACTATAGTATGTGATCATTAGGTTCAAGTGGAGATGGTAAGAACGATTGGGCGGTCGCACCCACTGGGTCGTACCACCCAGCCTGTGCTCAGCAGTCTTGTTCTTGCAACAAAAAGCCAGATATCGTACGTGTCCACGTAGGATAACTTGTTATAAGGCCGTGTGATTGTCGCTGGCAAATGGCTTGGAAAATTCATCATGCGCGAGAACTGCAGAGAATCCTTTCTGCAACGAAACTGACAGAGCTAAGGGTCCACCACGTTAGAAATCGAAATACAAACAGTCCGATTGATTTTGCTTATGAAACGACGCATCTCCGCACATGCCAGATTCTCGCACAGTCTCCATGCGCAGACCGAGGGCGTTCCCGAACGGCGGGAACGCAACACCGCTTTTGATCGAGTGGCAACGTGCATCGTCATGTCATCATGGCTACTTTGTGCCGCATCTCAAAACGTCTAGTCGCATAGACATCGCCGATAAACTTTTGCAGCTAGTTTGGACTTGGTTGGTCAACAAATCAAAATGGAGTCGCGTCCAGATGGGTGTAGTCCCCATATGAGCAAAGCAGATGCTGTCTCCGTGGCGAATTCTGGAGCGCTGGTGCTCTACACGTCTTGCGTCGACCAACCAAACTCCAACGGCTTCGATACCGGTACGCACGTGGGCACGATCGACAATACCCACGCGAGTCCACCATTCTTGTCGCCCTGCTCAAATGTAGCCCCGTCTCCCACCTTAGCTATTCCAGACCTGAAAATTGAACTTCCCACATCGCAAAACACTCGCCTACACGTGTACTGTAGGCCGAGACTAGCAATGACCTTCTTCTTCATCGCTTGCTCACTGCGTCATGACTGCGCAGACAGCGGCGCGAGAGCTCGTCTTGCTCGTATTAAAGGCGCGAGTAAGACCGTGATAACACCGCAAAAACTTAATGCTACTATCCACTCTCCTCCTCGACACCTGACGCACAAGGTGATCGCCGATGCACAGTACGATTGCATTCCTCTCGACGTACTAGTAGGCACCGTTGATGTTCGCCACACAGAACATGTGTTTTCACACCCAGGATCACTCACCCAGTCGACAGGTGTTTGTCTGGACTGCTGTGGACCGCTTGTTGAACCCAAGGACAACATGTGGCGCGTAGCCATAGACAGGGCCACATACCATGCGTGCGCAGAAACGGGCTGCCGCCTCGGGAAAAAAGACACCAACCGCGCACATTTCGTGGCTCTCAATCATTTTCAATTTCGCTTCATCTCGTCCAACACCTCAACTCGTATCATGGTGGCTGCCCCGACGCTCCTCTCGCTCGCGCTTCTTCTCTCGGCCGTCTCGGCGCAGTCGACGCCGACGTGCCCGCCCCGCGTCCGCAAGTCGTGGAACCGCTACTCGGTGCCGGAGAAGGCCACGTACAAGAAGGCGGTCGCCAAGGCCATGGACACGCCGCTCTACGAACGCTTCATCTCGATGCATTCGGAGCAGATGAGCAACACGGAAGCCCACGGCACGTGTGTTTTTCTCTTCTGGCACCGCAAGTTTCTTCTCGGGTACGAGAACCTGCTTCGGAGCATGGGCTCCGAGTTTGCTTGCGTCACGCTGCCCTACTACGACTACGTCCAAGACAACGTCGCGTACGGTGCCAAAAAATGCTCGAGCATCGAGTCGTGCTCGGCCATTTTGCGGGACATGGGCGGCTCGGCCGGCGTCGACAAGTCGATCCCGATTGGCCGGTACTCGGTCGCCGGTCGCTGCGTTTCGAACGAGCCCGTCAACCACTTTTGCGAGTCGACGGCGAGCTGCACCAAGTGTGTGCCCCGGGGCCCGTGGTCGACGACGACGTTCAACCCGGACCTCGGCTTCAGCAGCATCAAGAACCAGGTGTTTGGCGGCAAGGACATTGCCGAGACGACGCGCCTCATTGAGTCGTCGCCCCACAACAGCATGCACGGGACGCTCGCAGGTGCCATGAACAACGTCTTCATCTCGCCGACCGAGCCGGTTTTCTACTCGCACCATGCGATGGTTGACGCTCTCCACACGATTTACCACAAGTGCCGCGTCCAAGGTCTCGGTCTCAGCCCCGCGCAGAAGCAGGTGCACGCCATGTCGTTTGCCGGCTGCCGCGCCAACGGCGCCCCGATCACGGCCACGTCGGCCATCACGATGCGCGCCGTCGTCAACGGCAAGACGGTCGCCGTCGACAGCGAGTCGAGCGTCCAAGCGTTTTTCAAGGGTCTTCCGTCGGCCTATTATGGCCTCACGGACGCCAACGACCTCGGAAGCAATAGCTACGCCTATGAGTTTACGGGTCTCCTCGGGGACCTGTACACGAACTGCCAGAACTCGGGCACGCCTCGCGCCGGCACCCGCCGCCTGGTCGACGACGCCAACGCCACGACGACGACGACGACGACGGTGGCCAACACGGTGGTCCCAATCGCCGACAACTCGGCGGCGCAGGCGCTCCTCAACTGGCGCCTTGACGTTTTTGCTGCCGCGCCGCGCGACTCGGTCGACGCCGACGTGGAAGCCGACATTATCAAGATGCGGACCCTCTACTATGAAAACTGCCTCGACGGCGTCGACGACTACAGCTCGTCGTTCAAGGCGCTTTGGAAGGTCGGGTCGAGCCCGTCGACCAAGGTGCTCAACGCCGTGTACGACCAGTCGAGCCCGATCCGCATTCCCGACTGGCAATCGATCAACTTCAAGCACTTTGGCTGCAGCGGCGAGCCGACCAAGTAGAATTGATTTGCATTTAATAGACACAAATAATGTTTACTCCTTTATATCATGCTGTGGCTTCTATCACATGACGTGGCGCCTTTACAAGCGTCGGGCCGCCGATTCGATTTGGCCCAATCACAGTCACATGCATACCAAAGGGCAAAAACCGGAATGGATAATCGATGGACCAAGTGGTTTTCATATTACCAATACAGGACAATGCAAGCGGCGCTAACGAGCGCAAGCATAAAGGGCGCAGCGGCATAAAGATGCGCCTGCAGCTCGCTGCGGACGAGCCAAGGTATGATGAGATGATCCAGGACACCTGCAACGGCGTCTTTGATCAACGTCACCGTTGTCGACGCGTAGAATTGTGTCCACAAGGTAGCGCTTAAGAGAAGAGCGAGCCCAAGGCGGGCGTGAGCTGGGTGTGAGGCTGCAAGCGCTGCGAGCAGCGGCGCCAAAACGACTTCGTACTGCGCAGGCATCCCCAGAGCATGGGCAAACGCAAGACCTACGACGCTCGCGTAGATCGCAGTCGCGTACGTGAGAAGCGGTAGTCGAGTGGTGGCAACGTAGACGCCACCCAGGAGCACCAGTGCGCAACACGCGTAGCGCACGAGCATGCTGTCCACGGCGCCCAAGAGGGTAGTTCCAGAAGGCGACAGACGACGCATTTCGTCCATGGCCAAGTCGTGCCGCGCGCGGAAGGCCGTAATGAACGAGTCCATACCGTGAGAATCACGCAATATACAAGACAAAGGGCGACACGGGTCGATGAGCCGCTCGCAACGGGCTGATCGGCCACGCCAACGCACTGGCAAGCCGCCTTGTCCCAGCCATTGCACGACTACTTATTCGGAGCAAAAGAGGCACCGTACCGGTATGCATGGTAGGTGTCGTCCCGTTTGAAGAGTTCAGAGTGCGCGAACGTGGGCGCGCAGCGACGAGCAACTCCACGTATCAGTATCTTGTCTGCACTCGAGGAGCGCGAACTTCCAAACACACCTCTTCAAGATCGCACATTCCATGGACGTGGCCGTGACGCACCTCGACGCGGGCTCGCCCACGGGGTCGCTCGTCTGGACCGCGCTCATGTACGCTGCCGCTATTGGCGACATTGGTCTCGTCGAAGCACAGCTCACAAGCGCCACAAGCAACAACAACAACAACAGTATTGTCTACGACACTGGCAGTGTGCGATGATGCATTTTCATTTGCAATGTCAACTGTTGCGGCGTAGACCAAGCAACGCTACTCGGCGCTGCACGTGGCTGTCAAATTTGATCAAATCGAGGTCGCCCAGCGACTGCTCGCCCACGGCGCCACCATCGACGCTGTCGACGAGGTCCTTTGAATGACATTCGATATTAGCTGCAACCGACTCGTAGCACGGTCGTACGTGTTTGCATCTGGCTGCGACGCTAGGCAACATGCGCATGGTGCAATTGCTTGTACAAGCAAACGCCAAGCAGCTTCCTTCAGCAGTATTTTTCATACTCGTATTATTCGTTTACGATTCAAAAAATATAGGCTGGAACACTTCCGCACGAGTGTGCGATCGCCCAAGGCCACCTTGCCATCGCGGCTCTCTTGGTACCAGCGAGCGTCAAAGGTAAAACCTCATTCGGGAGGTATATTGATATGAATATTCTGGTAGAGTCCACACGGCCTGGCGTCGAGCCAAACGACAACCAAGTCCATGCGTGGCTGCGCGCAGTCGGGCTCGAGATGTACATTTCTCTATTTGACACGGCGGGGTACGACGACCTTGGCTTCATCAAAGACCACGGACTCTCGATGGAAGACCTTACGGCGATCGGTGTTTCCAAGCGGGGCCATCTCGCCAAGCTCAGCGGTCTATACCAGCTCGACGACATTCTACCTGCTTCGGCTTCCGAGGACGAAAGTGAAACGAGCTCCAACGACGATGGGTCCGACGACTCGGACTCGGACGACGAGGCGAGTGGGTCCGACTCGGACGAATAGCGCCGACCCAAATTAAAGGAATCACGCAATAAGTTTATAGTGTTGCAATCAATAAGATTCGTATTCGGTCAAGCGCAATAAGACGCCAATAAGGTGTTCTGACATGCCGAGAAAATAGTCCAACCCTCGCCCAGAGCCGACTCGATTGGTCGTACTAGTAGTAGCAAAGTCTTTCGCAAGCGCGACCTCCACAAGGAACGCAGAAAGATTAGTGCAGAGAACGTGCATGTCTCCGCAGCCGCACAAAAGGCGTCATGCCTCGTACAGACCTCGTGGTGTCGATCACGCGCGACAAACAAGGAGAAAAGGCCTCTTCATATTGCAATCACACAGGCAGCAGAGGGTGGTTTGACGGTGGCAACGTACAAGATACGTGTCACTTGAGTGTCGAATTCAGAAACGTCGAGGTCGCATTGATCGCTGCGTCTATACATCCAGGCTAAGTTCCTGTCCAAGGCAAAGGGAATGGCCTACTCGGGTCCGGCGGCTTGACTTGGTCGGGGACATAGAACATCGTTTGGTTGGGGTTGAGCTTGGAGTAGATAATGATGCCGGCCACGCCGGCAAAGACAAAAAACGTAAACACAAGAATGACGCGATCGGTGGCCATGCGCCGGCCAAACGTTCGGAGCAGCTAGCAACAACCCGCGTCCTGACGATGAAATCGATTTGCAAAAGATTACCTTGTTGGCGCGTACGAGGCCGTCGTCCATGCGCATGACCTCTTCCGTGATCGCGTTGATTTGGTTGCGCTGCTCGCGGAGCACTTCGCCCGTCGCGAGCGCCACGTCTTTCGACGCTTCGACCATTTTTTGCGTGTTTTTGAGCGAAATTTCCGTTTTCGTTTGGATTTCCTGCGCTTTCCCGAGCATTTCGCGGTTGCCCGTGGGCATTTTGGCCGCGTTGACCTTGGCGTCGCCAAAGAGGCCGTTGCGCTCGGTCTCGGACTTGGCCCACTTGACTTCACGCGTGAGCTCTTCGACCCGCGCCGCGTACACGTCATTTTTCTACTTGACGCTCAGGACCAACGTGCACAGCGTCGTTGTCTCTACCTCGCGAAACACCTTGATCTCTTCGCGGTCCGTGACTTGGCGCAGCGCGAGTGTGTAGCCCTTCTTGAGGTCGACCACTTCCTTGAGCTTCTTCTCGGCCTCGGCCAGCACCTATGGCCGGCATGAGCCCAGGCGTGGCGCCCATCGCTCGGTCGACCTCGCCGCGTACGGCCGGCGGCGCCTTGGCCAGCCGCGCCATGATGCCATCGAGCGTCGACAGCGCCTCCGAGAGGTCGCCGTCGTAGTAGTTGATCTCGGCCATATACGGCGCCGACGGAAACACGGGCTCTGGGCTATTTCCGAGATCCGCATCAAACCTCCGCGTCCGTTTCACCGGATACGGCGATCGCTATCCGGCTTCTTGGCTTAGAAATACAAATATATTAGCTTGGTGTTTGTATGCATTTTTAAAACGACGCAACGTAACCGATTGCATGTCGAAAAGGGGGTGTCGCGACGACCCCAGGATCGGACGCGACCGCTCACGATCGCAACAGCTTTCCGGCTATACTTTCTGTATCAAGGCTGAACACGCTATACAATAAACACTCGATGGCTTCCACGATGACACCGCCTCGTCCTTCGCTGCCTTGATCGTTTGGCAGCAGTTCCTTTTCAAAAGCAAGTCGATACGAGTTCGGTGCAGTGCGTTCGACGAGGCTATTTTGCTTTAGTTGCTCGTCGGAGTCTACTAGCACTAAAACTGCAATAGGTCGGATTAAAGTTAGGATAAGCGGCCTTAGCCAAGCCATGCCATCCGCTGCGGCTCGTCTTTGAGCACAGTGACAACTTCGGGCTTGGGCTTCGGAAATTCTCGAAGGTACTTGGACTTCTACAGCATACAAGTCCAATTCGCTGTCCTATACCAGAGATAACGGTACCGTCGATCGCTTGATGGAGGTTGTCTGGGGTGCGAGGCTCAGTAGCGCGCCGAGTGCGGTGGCAGGTCGCTTCTTTGGGATGTCCAAGACACCAACCTACGAAAATTCGATGCTACCACATCCTTTATACACAAAATATAGCTACCGAGTCGCCGTGGGTGACGTATTGCTCGCGGACGGATGGCCGAGCGTTGGGTGTGTCGGCCTTCATGGGCGACACGCGGACGCGGATCGCAGGGCTGTGTTGATGGAGCGGCGTCTAGAGATGATGGCAAAAGAGGTGCAACTCGCCTCAACCTTGTGTAGGTAACCTTACCTTGGTCGGTCGGACTTTGACGGATTCGGGGGAATTGAGGTTGGGTCGATTTGAGCTGAGGGAACTTCTTCGCGGTGTCGTGTGGAGCGAGAATTCGGATCGTGGGGACGCGTTTGGGCTTGCGTCCGTATCGTGAATTTCCGAAAACGTGGGCGACGCCGACGAGAGCGACGTCAATTTGACCTTGTTGGGCCCACTTTGCGGTAAACTCAGGTGTTTCTACGCCAGTTTTCCGATTTTCTTGGCGTTTGGACGCGTCCACGTACCCGAAAGCCTTTTCGAGACATGGAGTGCGGCGATTCTTGTCGGTGCGGCCCCGTGTACACCGAGACCCCTACATGTATTTTCAAAAAACAATTTCAACAATTGTGTTCCTGCGTAGGATCGAACCGTGGATCAACGTCACGCCCGCGTTGAGCTCGATCGACTGCGGGAATTTGTCGCGCTGGAATTCCGACATGAGCGGCTCGTACGCCTGCTCGGTCTCTTTGAGTTCGTTTTCCGTGGCGGTCTTGTCGTAGAACCAGTTGGCCGCTTTTGGCGGCTTCTTGACATGCGGTGACTCGAGCGACCCGGACCGGTGCAGGCGGCTCTTCCCATGCCGCACCGTCCTGACCGATACGTCGTCGCCTTTCACCGACGCTTCGTCCAGCACCATACTTTCACGCGCCGTCGGTATATACAGGGATGCTGTGTCGTCTGGCTGGTTGCGCTCGAGGACGGTTGCGACTGCCGTCATCTCGAGTGCCGTCGGTGGCGGTGCCGCCTACGCATCGAGACACTTCGTACTTACTCGACATAAAATGGCCTACGCTCGTGTCGAGTTCGGTGATGCTATCGGGGTCGGTCTGGATCGTATTGATCACGCGCCGAATCAACGACACACGACCCCAGCGGGACTTGGTCTGTGCCGTGGCCGCCAACCGGTCCATGCATTCTTGCCGCCACCGCCGTCGGTCCTAGTCCGCATAAGACAACGTGTCCACACGTATCGTGACGACGCACCTCGGTCATGACTTCGGACGGGTAGTGCACACGTGTGACGCGGGGTATCTCCTTGGGCGCGGCCGCGGGGGCAACTTCAATGGGTGGTGCCGCGGCACCGAGCGCCAAAGGCCGCTTGCCCGTGCGAGAGATCGACCGCTCCGAGTGCGTACGCGAGAGGCTGCGCGTGCCGTCGCCCGTGCTCGCAAAGTGCTTGGGCGGTCGCGTGCTCATGTCTTTGCGTGGCAGCGACAAAACAGCGTAGCTACAGCAGAGAAATGGGCATCGATACACGCGGCCAAGACGCACCGGTCGATGGGGCCGGCGCAAACCTCGGGCTCGGGCGACCCGATCCACGAAAGCTCGTCATCGTACGTCACGTCGCAGCCCATGTGCACGGTGGCGTAGGCTAGCGTGACCATGGCATCGACCGTAAACGTCACCTACGACTGGGTCAACGGCTGCGTTAAAAGAAGACAGGTTGTCGTACACATCGTCCGACGCGCTCGTGGTGCGGAATGGCGGCCATCGTTTCAGCGACCACAATGTCGAGCACCGAGAGCACCACGTCCTCTGTGGCCTCGGCCACGTGCACCGCCTTTGGCACGGCTTCGTCGTCGATGGCAGCGAACGGCACCGAGTCGCGGTGGGACTTGGCAGAGGCAGGCGCCTCCTTTGTGGCCTTGGCAGACTCGGCCTTGGCTTTTGCCTTGGGCGCGATCTCGGCAGCCTTGGGCACCTCGGCCACCGACTTTTTGGGCGGCTTGTCCTTGGCCGCCGCCTTCTTCATCCTCGACGCCGAGCCGTTATGAGACCGTTTTTGTCCTTTCTACTGCGTTACGCAAGCGTCCATAGCACCAACTTCGAGACAGACACCAGGCAAACCAAGAACAATGGCTGCAAGAGCAAGGTAGCTGCTAGCATTGTGGTGGGCTGCCACCTCCGCATTTGTTTTTGCGCGTTGGTACTTCTAGCTCTAAAATGTACTTCTATACCTTATACGCTTGCTGCTCATTGTAGAACTGGTGCAGGGAGCGCTGTCTTTTGGGTCAAAAGTTCCCTTGCTTTGGGCGTACGCTGCGCGCTCGACGACTGTGTCCTTGGCGGGTCCATACGACCTCGGCTTCATCTTGGACGTCGAAACCTCGTGCATGGGAAGTGGACGTTGTGGACAAGACAAACCCACGCACCAAGACGCCCGGAAGAGAATAGAGTTTTTCTCAAAGTAAGTGGACCGCCACGCTTTGAGTTTGAGTTGCAATTGCAGTCGGCCCTTTTCAGCGACGAGCGCTCGCTTCCGTGACACTACACTGCAGACTGGCACGCAAAGTACAGACTACTGTATTAGGATCTTATATATAAATTCAAGTAGCTTGTATAGTTGAGCAATGAGCTATGCATTTGGCAACGCGCGTGCACTCGAGGCAGCATGGCTAGGGTTGCCTTCGCGTGGCTTTCTGGGTGATGTGCATCACGTCATGGGGCTGGTCGTCGGCCGCGGTATATTATTTCATCGCTTTATACTCTATAAATGTATTGCGAATAAACAAAAGCATTGTAGGATTCTTTCGAAGCAAATCGAAGGACCCTCCTCCTAGATTTCTACCAATCAAAGACGCGGAAGGCTGTCTATTGCACCTTTTTGGCCAATGGCATGCGGCAGAGTTATTGGTCCAGTAAGCGTAGCTGACGTCCCCAAACGCGAAATCGCCGCAGTCGAGCAAGATGGACCGTGAGCCGTGTCCGTACCGCATCATCGAAGACATGGGCGGCGCCTTTGGCATGGGCGCCGTCGGCGGTGGCATCTTCCACTCGATCAAGGGCGCACGCAACTCGCCGCCGGGCGAGCGCTTCCGCGGCGCGGTGTACGCGGTCAAGGCGCGCTCGCCGCTGCTCGCCGGTCAGTTTGCGATCTGGGGTTGCCTCTTCTCGTCCTTCGACTGCTCGCTCGCGGCCATTCGTCAGAAGGAAGATCCGTGGAACTCGATCTGCGCCGGTGCGCTCACGGGTGGCGCCCTTGCGATCCGGTCGGGCCCGCGCGTCGCGTTCACGCAGGCCGTCATTGGTGGTGCGCTCCTCGCGTTGATCGAAGGCCTTGGCATCATGGTCGGCAAGATGCTCACGCCGCCGCCCCAAGACTTTGTCGACGAGCACGGCATTGACACGAGCGAGCAGCAGTTGGCGCCGCCCAGTTTTTAGTGTTTCCACCCGTATATAGAAGATAGATCCAGGACGCCTCCCTCGTCCACGCGAGTTAACGATCCAACATGCAATGTGATGAGGAGACAACATCCATCTCGACGCTGCCTCAAGGTCCAACAACAGCCGCGGCAGAGCCGGGGCTCCAATGGGAAGCAACCGCGCCACTCTCCTGCTTGGCACATCCATAGCACCAGCATCAGCATCAGCGACTGTCCTAGCACCAAGCCACTCGCGTCTAGGCACATAAGAGCCTCAGTCCAACAAGGGATACCACGCAAGGACCTTGCATTGCACTCTTGCCTCTATGCAGAACCAACCACCACGTATGCTTCTAGAGCGTTCTACTGACTAGAAGTCAGTTAATCTTGCTCCTCTCGGTCACCATCATGTACTAGGTTTGTCATCTACAACTGCCAACAGAATGGAAGTTGGCCGGCAATGAGTCACCGAGTGTTCCCATGTCAGTTGCCCCAAGTATTGCGACCACCTCGACAAGCTCACACTCTCAAAAACGTTCGCAGTACTGTCACATTATCGACGCCAGATCACTCATCGTCGCCCATCCACGCAAACCCAAGACTGTCCTCGTCGTCATCTTGCTCTTGATCGTCGTTGTCGGCGGTCGGCGCCAGCGTGTTGTACCGAATCGCACGCAGCGTCGGCAGCGTCTCGCCATACCGCGTGTCAATGACATCGCCATTCCGAGCGGCAATGTGCCCGATGACCGCCTCGAGCTGCGATGGCAAGAGCACGTTGTGGTGCCCGAGGACGCTGAAGACATCCATGTCTTGGTCTCGGTACTTGTGCCGGAACATGGTGAGCACGTGGTCCCGCGCGGCCGTCGCGTACAACGTTCGCGGCTGCTCGGCAACGATCGCCAAGTAGCGCAGCGCGACGTCGTAGATGCTATGGGTCTCGACCGCAAAGATGCTCGGGTTCTCCAAGAGGCCAGTCGCGGCCATGACGGCTTGGCACCCGGTCGCTGCGAGGCATGCGTCGGCCTCGGCGCGCGAGCGAATGCCGCCGTTCGCGATCATTGGGATCGCAATTGCCTTGCGCACGGCTGCGATTGCGTCCCAATTGCAGATACCTTCGTGGTGGCGCTGGGCGCGGAGGCGGCCATGAACCGTGAGCATGGCGGCGCCCGCAGCTTCAATCCTAGAAGACATTGAGCTTGGTAGGAGGTGTCGAAGGTACCCTTTGGCCAGCGCAATCGTGTCGTCAAGCGATGGCAGGAGACGAATCTTGCACGAGATCGGAGTGCTGGACGCTGCAACCATGGCGCGTACGATCGACACGATGGTGTCGGGCTCCTCGAGCAAGTAGGCGCCAAAACCACCAATTTCAGCGCAGCGCTGCGGGCAGCCGAGGTTGAGGTCGATGCCATCGCAGCGGTGTTGGACGAGTCGGACAGCGGCGGCAAGCGCGGTCGGATCGTTGCCACAGAGTTGGACGATGAGTGGCCGATCCGTCGGCGATGTGTCGAGAAATGCCATTGAGATGTCGGTGCCGGAGGGTGCAGCGGCTGCGGCCGCGACGAGCTCGGTTGCGTGCAGCATGGGCGAGAACGTGAGGTCGCACCCGAGCTCTCTCGTGAGCAAGCGAAATGCAAGTTCGGACGCGCGGACCATTGGCGCGCAGACAAAGCGCGGCGCGCCAAGCACGTCATTGTACCAGCGCAATGCTGCTGCCATGGCTTTGGCTTGGCGGGCTTTTGGTTTAAACCACAGTGCACTTTGATATACCTATTTAACCGCATTCAACGCAGAGGCCTTGCACGGACGACACGGGACTTCGCCTGCAGCGTTCATCGTCTTGATGGAACGAAGAGATGGGATATTGCGACTAACATAGCATCGCAAGAGCAATGTCTCCTCGGCAGCGACTGCAGCTCGCGAAAAGTCGGCCGACTCCATCGACTACTTCGGTTCATCTGCAAGCAGGTTTTGGAGATGAAGCTTGGAGGCTAAAAGACTCTGTCGCAGGAGAGCCATCGCAATCGAATGCTATGCATATACGTTCAAGTCCATATTCCATGGCGCAGGCGTCATCCAAGTCGGTGGTGGTGCTCAGGTGTCGCGGGTTCCCAGGCAACGGCGGGAAAGCGCCCATGGGTTCAACGCGTTTAAACACAGTTCGACGCATGGACCGGAGTAATCGGCTGGCTTGCCGTCCAAGCTTTTATCCAATCGCATGCGTGCTTTTGAAAAGAAGCCAATCATAGGCCTCCGAAAGGAATTGAATACCACATACAAACGCCAAGATAACGCCACATAAAAACGAGTTGCAGCTTTTGGCAGGCCATTTGCGGCAGTTCCAAAGAAGTCGAAGGAAGAGCCCAGCCATGTCCCGATCAAAGTTGCTCGAAGCCTTCAAGTTCGCGGTCTACGTCACGAGTATGCGACTGCTTGCGAGGTCGACATGTACAATGCTCATGGCTGTGTCTGCGCCTAGTGCCCATTGGCGTCACCTACGTCTACATGCAGCCCGAGATTGTCACGGCGGCCGTCCAAAAGGTACGCAACATCGATTTCGCCTGCGCCACTCATGCGTCATGCTTGGTTAGATGGACTACATCAACTACCCCGCGCAGCAGTACACGCGCGAAGAGATCATGGACAAGATGAAGCAGGGCTCGGACGAGCGCAAGCGTCGCCAGTAAGGCAAAACACGTTCTGTACATGCAGGAAACATTCTGGTACATGCAAATGACATCGCCAAGTCGCATGGATGTATGGCTGTTGGGTATTGCCACAAGCCGCCAGCGTTCACCGTAGCTGTCGCCTGAATGGAGTGGTCCTAAGTGCCAGCAGTCGCCTTGACGCAGTACGCTGACGTGTACGTGCGCAAATCGTCGACGCCAAAATCTGGCAACACAACTGTAGTCGATGCACAGGGTTGCAGGAAGCATAGTTATAAAAGTAGTTATTGGCGGCGCAAGAGGCAGTAGACGCGCGTGCCGTTGTGGATGTTGCGCAAATGCGACTGGTCGCCGCGCAAGCACATGAGGAGACCGCCAAAGCTGGCAAAGATCGCAACCGTGTTGCCGCCTTCGTGGTCGTACTGGAAGACCTTGCCGTACATGCCATAGTCGTACCGGTCGAGGAGCGACGGCTAAACATGCATAGTATCAATGTGTGCAGCGATAGCGGCGATATGTACCTTGCCGCTCTGGTCAAAGATGCCATCGTCCGGCTTGCCATCGAGGTCGAGCGTGCTCACAAGCGCAAACGTAAACTGCTCGTGCACCTTCATCGGGAAGACCTCCGAGTTGATGTCGAGCATGAGCTCGAGCTCGTACGAGACGCCCTTGCACACAAGGCGCGTGACTAGAGGAGCGCATGAGCCAGATCGCGAGCGTAGCATGCCACGTACCGCGGTCGAACTTCTTGCCCTCCGGGTTGAGCTGCTTGATCTCGAAGATGTCCTCGAACATTTGGGTCGACATGGCGGCTACGATGTACGAAGAAAACTACCGCGTCTCCAAGCCACGGATTCGAACTCGTGCGCGTTTGGCCCAATGGCATCGCACGGGACGGCTTTTTCACCAATCCGAAGCGACGATGTGTTTTAGCCAATCCCCAGGCTTGTGCTCATAAAGGGCCAATCCCAGCCGAAGCTTCCAATGATTAAAAACACACCACTTAAACAACTTCACGGCTCATACCGAGGTCTTCTTGGTTTAGATAATGCCGCAACCGATAAGACCACCAAAACCAAATATATAAATTAGCTAGTTTTGCGAGGGTAGTTATCGAAAAGAGGCATTGTTTTCGAGCATGAACACAAATCGACATGCTAAGCTGGCGTGTTAGCAGTCCATACGCAGGTGTTTTTATCCAATCAAACAGCTTAGAGAGAAACAGCCAATCCACGATGAGCCCAATGCCCTCCACCAATGGCATCCCGCCGTTGGCTATTGGGTTTTACCCAATCACGTGGCCAGCGTGCATTTCAGTGGTCATCAGCAGCAACAACATATCGCAGCTCATGGCGCCGCCTCCCGCCACGAAGAGCAAGCTCGTGCAGAAGATCAAGCCGAACAAGGCCAAGAAGGCGGCTGCCAAGGTTGAAGCCAAGCAGGCGACTGTCCAAGTGGCGGCCACCAATACCGTCGTGGCGGCCACCAAGAGCAGCAAGAAGAAGAAGAAGAAGGCCAAGCAAGCGGCCGCCGCCGACGAGACCAATGACGCTATCGACGCTGAGGTCGACGCCGTCGCCGAAGACGATGGCGAAGACAAGGTCGATGCCAAAATGGAGCTGGACGCGCTCTTTTCGGGCTTGAAGGCCAAGAAGAAGAAGGCACAGGCCGACACTGCGGCCGAGCAAAAGCGGCTTGACGACGAGCGCGCCGAGAAACTCGCGTACCGCAAGAAGCTCGAGAAGATCGAGAACGAATGTACGCTTCCATCCTCTCTTGTCGCTAGACCTTACGCAAATCTGTGGACGCGTAGACAAGATGAAGCACAGCGACAGCTCCAACCCCGTGCCAGGTACGCTTGCCACCGCCTTTGTCGCGCCTCACGCAAATGCCTTGTGTCTCTAGTTCGCTACGACGCCGACGGGCTCCCGATCTATACAGCGGCATCGCTGCGCATCAACCAGGGTGGTGACACGGCCGACTGCCCGTTCGACTGCTGGTGCTGCTTTTAAATTAACGAAAAATCCTGCCACGTATTACATATTGCAAGTGTATCGAGCGCGACCGACT